CTGTCTGTGTGATGTTAACCTCCCTGTCCCCAGTTTCTCCATCTGTAAAATAGCGTTACTACTAATAATAGCTACCTCATAGGAGCGTTATAAAAATTAAGTGAATTATATACATAACGATAGCTGGCATGTAGTTACCTGTGTGTGACATGAGTATTAAATATACTATGTAATGGGCGGGGGATTTAGCTCAGTGGTTTCGCCGCCTGCTGCGCAAGCGCAAGAACCTGAGTTCGCAAGGACCTGAGTTCGATCTCCAGTACCACAAAACAAAAACAAACAAACAAAAAACCTCCCTACCTGCCCATTCACCCCCACCCCTGCAAACTACTGGTCTTTTTGCTGTCTCCACAGCTTTGCCTTTTCCACAATGTCACATAGTTGGAGTCCTGTGGGCTGTAGCCTTTCCACGTTGGCTTCTTTTGCTTAACCACATCCACTGAAGGTTCCTTGTGTCTGTTTGTGGCTTAACAGCTCATTTCCTTTTAGCACCAAGTAGGATTCCATTGTCTGGATGTACCACTGTTTATCTATTCACCCCTAAGCAGACATTGTCACAGGTTTTTAAAATTTTACCTGTGTAATCCAGATGATTAAAACCAGTATCTACCTCATGGAGTTGTTCCTAGGATTAAGCAGTGGGATGCTGGTGCTTAATGAATGGTCTGGATTGTGTCACGCAGAATTCTCAGTTGCAGCCACTCCTGCCGGCCCACAGCTTTCCCTTTTTCCTATTCTGGCCTTTCTGGCGTTGAGGAAGAGCTGGGGTCTGGGTCTGTCACCTCTGGGCAGAGAGAACGTAGCTAACAGGCCACGGAGCCACGGACACAGTCTCTTCCTGTTTGGCTCCAGGGTCTCCTGGCCTTCATGTGGGACACAGGGTTTAATCTAGAAGTCACTGGAAACATGAGCTGCTTGCTCTTCTTTTCTTCCCAAACAAAAGTTTATTTTTAAATAAATTGTTCCTTTCAGAACAAGGCTTGGATCATCCTGTTCAGTCTCTTTATTCCAAAGCAGACACAATAGTTTACCTCAGCTCACCTCAGAGCCAGGGTGCTGAGCAGTGGCTGCAGCAAGGCTGGCTCAGCCGTCATCTGTCCTCCTACTGGACAGCTGTCAGCTGTGTCACGCTGCTCACAGACTGTGAAACCCTCTGCTTTGTAGGAAGAGTGAGGATGAAACAAAAGTCCTCCTTGGGCTGCCCTTTAGGGATCTGATTGTACTGGGCTTGCCTTTTTACCGCCTGTGTCAAAAGAAAGCACTCCGAATTTAACTTGCTCCTCAGGGAGGGGTGTCTATGTGACCCCAAAATGAAATTTGTGATTCTGCTGAGGGCTGATGGCTTTGTGAATGTTTCACTTTCTATCCTTGGGAAGGAAGCCTGGGGATCAGGCCTGACTGTCAGGCTTTGGTCTGGTGTTCTGGTTTTGTTTTTTGTTTTTCGCATTACTGGACATTGAACCCAGGGCCTCACACGTGTTAGGTAAGCACTCTACCACTGAGCCCCAACCCAGCCCTTGTTTTTTGATTTTGTCTCACTAAGTTTCCCAAGCTGACTTAGAGCTTGAATCCTCCTGCCTCAGCCTCCCAGGTAGCTGGGATTAGAAGTGTGTGCCACCATGTCCAGCTAATCAGGTATATTTTTAATGCAAAGTGACAGGATTGCAGAGTATCCTATCACTTGCCCCCCACCCCAACTCTCCAGGGAAAGGGACATCACAGAGTCTGCTGTGGCTCCTTAGGCGAGAATGCACATTTTCTGGCCCTTGGCTGTGCCCCCAAATCCAGCCGCCTGGCCCAGGCTGGGCCAGGTACCCATCCCCCTTCTCCCCCCATCACATCAGCTTTTGAGGTTTCCCTGCAGGAAAGGAGGCCTATGGGGAGGCTTCTCTCCTCGAAACCCAGATGAGCCTGCAAGCTGAGCAGAGCCCAGGCTGAGGTGCTCCTACCTGGTGGGACAGTCAGGGAACCTGGGCTCCTCTTCTCTGACCGCACTTTGGCCCTGCTCTCTGCTCCTTTCTCCAATGAAGCATATTCCTTAATGCATGGCATAGGAATCCTGGAACTGATCCCAAGCCTTGGGTTGTGGGGGAGGAGACCAGGAAGCACCCACCTAACTTGGCAACACATGGGAGGCCTGTGAGGGCCAGGCACAGCTGAAGGTGTCATGGGTTACACCTGCTGTGGCCTGAATGTTTGTGTCCCTCCACATTCATAGGTTGACACCTAACCCCTGATGTGATAGCATTAGGAGATGGGACTTTTGGGACATCTTAGGACCTGAGGATGGGGCCTGAAATGAGATTGGTGACCTATAAAAGAGACTCTTAAGAGTCAGGTAGCCCCTTGCACTACGTGAGGATCCAGCCAGAAAGTGCCATCTAGGAGAAAATGGGCCTTCACCAGACACTGAACCTGCTGGCACATGACCTGGGAGTTCCTGACCTCCAGAACTGTGAGCAGTACATTTCTGTTGCTTATAAGTTACCCAGTCCAAGGTGTTTTGTCATAGGAGCCCACACAGACTAAGGCATGTCCTCTTTGTCTTCTCTTTCTGCAGATACTCTGGGGGAACAGGCAATGACTGGTGACCTTGAAACCATGCGTGTTTCTCAGTATAGAGAGAGGTATTTAAAAAAATTATTTTTAAATTTAGTTTTGTCTTTATTAGTTCATGTTTGCAGTACATAATGATTACGTTCATCATGGGGAGTTGGTACACGTACATAACACATCTTAATTCTTTTTTTTTTTTTTTTGGTACCAGGGATCAGACTTGGGTCCTTGCGCTTGCACAGCAGGCAGTGAAAACACTGAGCTAAATCCCCGGCCCCCATATCTTAATTCTTTTTACTTTCCCTTCTCTCTCTTTCCTCCTTCTATCTCTTGTTTCCCTTTCCATTTGCAAAAGATCTCCTTTTCCTATTATCTTTTATTTTGGTCTTTAATTATTATATTTTGGGTTTTTCATGTAAGAGAAACCATAAATATTTAAGCTTGTGTGTTGGATTTATTTCACTTAACATTACGGTCTCAAGGTATATCCATTTTCCTACAAATGACTCAAGTTTATCCTTCTTTACAGCAGAGTGGTACTCTATTGTGTATAAATACATTTTCTTTATCCATTCATTTGTTGATGGACATATAGGCTGCATCCAAGATTTAGCTATTTTGAATTGTGCTGCTATAAACATGAGTATGATTATCATACTGTAATATGATGTCTTTAACTCTTTCAAGAAGCTACCTACAAGGGGAACAGCTGGATTAAATGGAATTTCTCTTTTTAGTTTTTGTGGAATCTCCACACAGATTTCTATAGTTGTTGTACTAGTTTACATTCTCATCAGCAATGTAGAAGGGTCCTCCCCCCAACCCCCAGCCCCTGGCCAGAATTTGTTGTTTTCTGATTTCTTGATGATGACCATTCTTTATGGAATAAGAGGAAATCTCAGTGTTGTTGGTATTTGCATTTCTCTAATGGCCAGAAATGTTGAACATTTTTTTCATGTATTTATTGGATACTTGTACTTTTTCTGACAAATGTTTATTCATTTCAGTTGCTCATTGTTTGATTGGTTCTTTTATTTTAGGGGTCTAATTTTTTGAGTTCTTTATGTATTTTAGACATTAGTCTTCTGTCTGCAGAATAGCTGGCAACCTATAGAATGGAGAAAATAATGAAATGTCACAAACAAATCCATACCTTTCAGTAGTAACTCTCAAGGTGAATGGTCTCAACTCTCCAAACATAGATTGGGAGATTGGATTAAAAAAATAAAATTAACAGTAAGCAACATACAAGAAACATATTTAATCCAAAAAGAAATTCATAGACTAAAAAATCAGAGAATGAAAAACCATATTTCACACAGTAGAAGCCCAAAAACAAGCAGAGCAGCTGTCTTATTTTCAGGCAAAGTGGATGTGAAGCCAAAACTGATCAGAAGAGGCAAAGAAGATTAGCACATATTGGTTAAGGGAACAATTGAACAGGGGGAGATAACAGTTGTAAATATATATGCACCAAATACTGGTGGACCTGACTTCATAAAATATATACTACTGGACATAAAAGGTCAGATAAATATCAACACAATTATCCATAGAGAGACCTCAATGCCATACTGTCACAAGTAGATAAACTAGACAAAAAAAAAAATTAAGCAAGAAATATCAGAGTTGAACCACACTTTTGAACAAATGGTCTTAATAGTTCTCTATGGAGGGAGAGAGTTCTTGCCAGCAGAGAAAAGCTTCTTGGAACCAAGCACGGGCCAGAGGGCCTCGGGGGCTGAGGTCAGGCTCAGCACTTCCTGCTGGGAGGAGAGGGTCTTCAAGACCCTGCCACCTTGGTTCCAGCAGCTGGAGAAGGCACTGGCTTTTCCACAGAGAGCCGCCCTTCTTCTCCCAAACCTGTGCTGCCCACTGACGGCTGGAGGGCGGGTCTTGTTGGCTCTGACTTGGAGAGTCTGGTCCCTGAGAGACCTGCCCCTCTCACTGGACTGCTAAGTCCTCAGACAGATTCGAATCCAAAGGTATCTGCCCAAGCCTTTGGGTTTCCTTTTTCTGCTCTATAGACAAATGAGGTTTGCTGGATGTCAAGGATCGTAAACAGCTTTTAAAGACATAAACACTTTGAGAAAAAAATCAAGAAGATTCAAAATGCATTTTTTCCTCAGAAGTCAAGGAGGAGTACACCCCCTGGACCTGGGAAAGGAGGAGTGAGGGAGTGAAGGAATGAATTTATCCCCTTCATCACGGACCGAGCTGTTTTTCATGGACCTGCACTTTCTCTCCTCCCCATGTGCAGTTCCTGAGGAAGTTGCAGCCTTCCCTACCTGGAGCAGCGGAGTGGGAAGTCCGAACTCTGATCACTGAGTCCCAAGACAAGTCACTCAGCCTTTCAGAGCCTTGGGTGGGGGGCGCTCTGCCTCACCGAGCTCCAAACAAAGTGGTCTTCAGGGCGTGATGAGCCTCATAGAAGGTGAAGCATCTGCAGGTGACGTGACCAGCTCCACCTTAGGCACAGGGGCCACTCGGGAGAATGTCTCTCCATAGGCAGCCTGGTCGGGCCTCCTGCACTGTGAAGCCCCTGAGATACCTGGGGTGAGAGCCACTGGTGCCCAGGAGATGAGGAGACAACACAGTGCACAGGGCCTCAGTGCCCAGCAGCTGGGCCGAGCTGGGCATGGACACCTTGCTGCCTAAGCTAGTGTCATCCGTTGGATTATCCTGTGCACATTTCAAAAAGAAAGCCACCGGCTGAGTGTGATGGTCCACGCCTGTGACTCCAGCACTCTGCAAGGCTGAGGCAGAAAGATCTAAAGTTCAAGCCCTGATTGAACAACTCAGTGAGACCCTGTCTCAGGGCAAAAAATTAAAAAATGCCTGTGCCACAGAAAAAGAGACAAAAAGAAAACAGCAAAAGAAAAAGGGAGACAAGGGACAACCCATATCATTCACAGGGCATTATCTCTCCACACTGGCACAGCCTGGTGGGATGGGTAACCAGATCTAGCCCCCCCCGTGTCTCTCAATCTCTTTCTCTCTGTCTCTGTCTCTCTCTCTCTTGATTTCTCTCCTCTCTCCTCTCTCTCTCTCTCTCTCTCTCTCTCCCAAATCCTAGGACAGAAGGACACAAAGTCAAAAGCAGTTGCTCTCACCTAACCCCTCTGTGCTGTCCTGATGCAAGCCCCTCCCTGAGCTCCTTGGTTTCCCACCGAGTTCCTTTTTAGGGGCTAAACTGAGTGTCATAAACAACAGAAATTTTATTGTTGCACAGTCCTGGGGTCCAGGAGTCTGTAATCAAGGTGACCCGAGGCCTCTTCTTTGGTTGCGGATGGCCATCTTCATGTCCTTGTGCTGTCATTCTTCACTGAGGAGCCTGCCTCCAAATTGCCCCTTTTTATAAGACGCCAGTCATTTGGACTAGCACCCACCCTAATGACCTCATCTTGATGAATTATATCTTCAACAACTGCATTTCCAAATAAGGTCAATCCTGAGATACTGGAGGTTAAGGGTTCAACATACAGCCTTTGGGGGTTCCATTCAATTCCTAATACTTTCTTTTCCTAGCCAGTTCCCTGCCACCCTGTCAGCTCTGGGGACTTCCTTAAACCTTTCTCAATGCATTCTCTTTGTTTCTCGGAACTTCTCCAAAGTCTGTTTGTGTGGCCAGCAATCCAAGAACTTTGACCCACAGGCCTACCAGTGGCAGAGGTGTGCCCTGCCCTTGACACGTCTCTGATCCTCTGGGCACTGTGACAGGTCAGATGCCATCTCAGCCTGCAAGGCTTCCTTGCAGGAGTCAGGGGGAGTTGCCAGGCCAGTGTGGCTCCGAGGCCATACCTCAGAGGGGGCTGCCTAGGGACCTGGATGCAGGCTGCTGGGGTGCAAATACCCCCAGAAGGTAAGGAGTCTGGCAGAGCACTGATGGTCAGCCACAGTCTTCCAAATTCTGAGCCTGGGGCCTCATTTTCTACAACAAAATCTCCCAAGTGTGCCTTTCCGATTGGACCTGTGGGCCAGCCTGGCTGGGAGGGGCCGGACTGCTCTGCTGGGCCTTGGTAACCAGAGCAGCTCCAGTAGCCTCTGTCTCCAGGTCCTGCACTCTGTCCTGACCCCAGCAGGGGCAAAGCCCACGGTGTCTTCTCCTCCCCTCCCCAGCCTTGCTGAGTGAGAGATGCAGACCATTCTGAGTTGTGGGACCCATTAATAACAGCAGCCAAATGTATTACACCAAGCACTTTACATGTGCTGTCTCACACAGCCTTCACACCAACCATACGGCACATGTGCATTATAACTGCATCCTTTAGATGTGCCAATGAGTGTTCAGTTACTAACTCAAGGTCAGGTTGCTAGGGAAGAGCAGGAGCCGGATGCATCTCATGTGCAGTCACCTCTGGCACCCTCTTCCTGGCCAACACCCTACCTCTGGGCTGGACGATGGAGTAGCTCAGAGTGGGTTCGGGTGACGACAGACTTCACAGACGTTCCTTGTACTTTGGGTTACTTCCAAAGTAGGTGTGAAGTTGAGGAATGCAATTTTGATGCAGATAAGTAGATATACAACCCATCCCTTCCCCTGAATTTCATGAAGGACCCCCAAAATCCTGGGGTTTGGGGAGCCCAGGTGTAAAGAGCTGTTAGCTGTCTAGAGACACATTGAAATGTGGGCTGACTACTTGAATATCCTCAGCCACATCAGCACCCAGAAATAACTTGAAATGCCTTATAAAGCAATAATTCTGTGATGGTGATTCACATCACCAAACCTCATGCAATGTGGGGGTTCCAGGCCTTGAATTCTTGTGGTGTCAATCCTAGGGGAGTTTCCTCTTTTGGCACCTGTGTTGTGTAGGGCCCAGAGTTTCCTGTCCTATCCACTTGAGGACTTTCTGTGCACAGGGCTGGACTTTCTGTGACCCTGTCCCTCAGGCCTGTGGCTGGGGCTAGGGCCCATTGACAGAAGCTCTGTGAATGAGGGTGGCCATTCACCAGTGGCAGCGTCACGTGTCCCTCTGCAGTTGAGGAACTCCTGGAAAGGAAGCCTAGCTTCTGAGTACGTCAGAAAGCCCCTGTGATGGTTGGTTTGTATCCATTTGACTGGGCTATGGGATGCCCAGATAGCTGGTCAGACATTATTTCTTGGTGCGTTTACAGGGGTAGGTCCAGAAGCAATCAGCATTGAAGCAGATAGATGAGTGCAGAAGATTCACCTTACTAACATAGGTGAGCATTATCCAGTCCATTGAGGATCCACGAAGAATTAAAAGGCGGAGGAAGGAAGGGCACATTTGCTTTCTGCATACACTGGGACACCCTCTTCTCCTGCCTTTGGACATTGGTGCTTCAGTGGTGGGTGACAGGTCCATGGGGTTTCTCAGCTTGCGTAACCACGTGAGCCAATTCTTCAACACAAGTCTATTGCTATGTATCTGTATCTATGTTATTGGTTCAGTTTCTCAGGATCAATGGGACTCGCAGAACCCCTTAGCAGGTTTCACGTCAGAGATGCTCCCGGGCCCAGGCAGGCAGCCGCTCCTGCCCCTCCAAAGCCCTCTCAAGAGGGCTGGCTGGGAAGAGCTGCCCTGAGGAGTCTCATTCCGTGCTGCAGGCTGTGTCTGTTTCTCCTAGGGCTGCTTCCTACGCCCAGCCTCTGCAAATAGCTGTGCCCAGCACAACTCTAGAAGTGTTGTGTCACCACACAGGCTTGGTGGCGGGAAGGGTCCGTCCCAGAGATGTGCCGAGCACAGTTCATAGGGCTGTGCCTGGGAGCCCTGCTGCCATCTGCCTGCCCATTGTTTTCAGTCCCCATTCTCCTGAGGTTGCTCTCTCTTGCCTCTTTGGCTCTTTCCTCATTCTCAGCCCTTAGGACCTTAGGCCCTAAGGCCCTAGACTGACCAGAGCGGATGCCTAGGAAGTGAACCGGCAGAGGCCAGAAAACAAACAGAAGGTTTACAAAGCCAATTTACCCTGGGAGGGGCCAGGCAGAAGGAGACAGGAGCTGTGAGCACAGAGTTCCATGACAAGTATTGTGGGAGTTGGGAGAGGAAAAAATTCAGAGAAAGGAATAGCAGCCCTGAAATAATAAGTGGGCCTTCCAGGAGGAAGGTTTTTGGAAGTCTAGCAATTCGATCTCATTAAGAAACTTATCTATAGAGATATTGAAAGAAATGGCAAAAAATCACATCAGACTGATGTTTTAAAAGATGTTGCCCAGTGCTTCTGTGGGCCATGAGGTGGCCCAGGTAGAGCAAGGAGAGATTGTTCTTTGTTAAGGGTACAGTCTAGCTGGCAGACAGCCAGATGGAGTCTCTACTCAGACTTCAGTCTCTTTGTACCTTTAGGAGCCCTCTTTTCAAAGCGTTAATGGTTTACCTTTTCCTATAGGAGATAATCGCAAATGGTTATCCTGGGGGCCCTTCCCTCAGCCAGGTACCCTGCCTGTTCCCTGAAGTCCTTCACTAGCCACATGCTACTTCTTCAAGAGTTCCCAGGATCAGTTGGCTGGGGATTTAGCTCAGTGGTTTCGATGCCTGCTGCACAAGCTCAAGGATCTGAGTTTGATCCCTGGTACCAAAGAAACCAAAAAACAAACAAAAAAAGAGTTCCCGGTATCAGTTTGCACCTGTGAAATGGGTATACTATCTACTTACTGCATTTGCAATTAAGTACACAGAGAGGTCTATGACTATTACCCATAACAGTGCAGAGGAGGTTCTCAATAAAAATCAATCCAAAGCCACCCTTTGAAGCACTTGACAAGTTTTTACCAGACCTAGGTCCAGCTGCTCACTGCTCAGGAGCCAATATTGAGAGATGAATGTTGGTGGGAAGGAAAGCAGTTTATTAAAGAGCTGGCATTTTGAGAACATGGGGAGGGAGCACTGCCTCAGAACCCCGCCTTGGGGACCTCAGGGGCACAAAGGGCTTTCATAGGGAGGGAAAGGAGGAGCAGAGGACGCAGGACGCAAGACAGAAGATGACATGTTGGGTGGGGTCTTCGTCATCCTGGGCACAGGCCTCCTTTTGTCCTTCTTTACTGGCCGGCACATTGCAATGGAGCTCTAGCTCCTGGGGTTACTTCCTGCCATTCTTCAGGCAGACACAGTGCTCTTCCACAAGTGAAAGCTCACAGCACTTTACATGCTTTCTGGTAGTTGACATACAGTACTAAAGAATACAGGAGAAATTTCATGTTCCATGTAATCTGAGGGCCACTAGACATTCTGGGTTCTGTAAGCCTAAACAAAAAAGATTTGGCATTAAACAGCTTACTGGTTTAGGCGTAACTTCTCATTAGAATTTAGAATGCTGGGCAAGGATGGGGGGTAACCTTGCAAAGGGCGACCTGCAAAGGAGACAGGGCCTGTCCCATCCTCCAAGGGCAAATGTTCTCCACAGGTACCTTCCTGTCCTGGGCCCTGGGCTTCTCATCCCAATCCTGCTAAATTACCCCTGGCCAATACGAGTTTTTAATTAGAAATGTAAAAATGGAAGTTTCCTTTCCTATAACTAAATTTAACTCTGCTCATATTCTCTTTTCTGTGCAGCCTGGATGATCATCATCTTTCCCTCCTGCTGGTAGGACACTCATTCCCCCTTTGTCAGGGACTGGAATATTGACCTCCCATCACCAGCCCCTCTGCCCTCCGCCCCGCGTTATACTCTATGGTTTTTGGTGGCCTTTTTCTAAAAAGGGCCAGGGGGTAAATACTTTTGGTTTTGTAGAACATTCTGTTCCTGGGATAACTACTCATTCTTTGCATCTTGAAAGCTACCTATTCAATATGTAACTGATGGGTGTGGATGTGTTCCAGTGAATCTTTATTTACAAAAACAGATCACAGGCCCTAGTTTTTGGATCCCTGGTTTTTGGTATAAACCCTGCAACCCCAGTCTTGGAGACTTTATTTTCTGATATCCAGAGCCAAAGTTCTGAAATCCACTAGATCCCTTTCTCTCTCAAGTCCTGGTCCTTGCATCTGTGAGTCACAGCTATTATTAGTTATTAGTTATTGCTCCTCTAATAGATTTGTGAACATCCTCTCAATGATCAGGAATCAAGAACCTGAATTTTCATTTGTTGAGTAGTTCCCCTCTCCCCTGAAATCTGCTGAGCAGGAGTAAGGATGTATGGGAAATACTAATTCTTGGCCTCTCAAATCTTATCCCACTACTTAAATCTTATTATAGAGGTTCTTAAAGAATCATTCCCAGGGCATCAGCACGAGCTCCCCTTGAGAATTTGTTTGAAATGCAAATTCTCAAGTCTACCCTAGGCCTACTGGATGGGACACCCTGGGAGCCCAGTAACCCCTGTCTTTCCAGTCGTCCTGAGGAAATTCGATGTCCCTAGTTTTTAATTCCTGCACCAGACTTTCGCATCCTGCACCTGGTGCTTTCTTGCCTTCATGCTTTAGTCCATGCCATTTCCCCTCCCAGAATCGTTCTCATGTGTCTCCACCACTCTCCTTCAAAACCTTCTACCTCTAAAACACTTCTAAAAATCATGTAATACCCATTTTCTGGTCCCACACGATCACCACTGTTCTTGCTTCATTTCCTTTTCACTTTTTGCTTGTTCAGGCCTTGCTTCTGTAAAGGACGGAGGAAGAATCGTGTCTTGAACATTTTGGCAGCTCTCGAAACACCTGCAGGTCAGTGTCCCAGAGGGGATTCCAAGAAAGCATCTCGGAGCTAAGGGTGCACTTCTAAGGGAGGGGAGGAAGCAGGGAACTGGGAAGGGGAGGGTGTTGAGCAAGAAAGTGGTTCAGGGCAGTGCTGGCCGGCCTTGATTTTCAGGAGGATAAACCATACCAGACTTAAGGCAAGGAGTTGCGACTGTACTCCATACCAGTCAACCATGGTCTGGGGCCACTTCCTGGAAGAGGAGCCCATTACAGGAGATCTCCTCCCGAGAGGGCAGCAGCCAGAGGCATCTGCAGCTGCCACACACAGCAGCTGTGGGATGAGTGCTGGAACCCAAAAGGAGAATGTGGACAGGGCTGTAACATCGTCTCTGGAATACAAAACAGGTGTTCAAAGAATCATTGGTGATTGATGGATGCCTATTTCCCCACCCCATTTATACAGAGACTCCTGCTATGAAAGAATACTGTCGAGTGGGTGAGCTGTGTAGTCCCCAAAGCACTTTACAGACACACTCTGTTGATGAAATGCCAGATTCGCCCTGTGAACAGAAATGGAAGAAGGCTTCCTGTCCATGGGGTGAGTGTGGACAGGGGCAGGGGGAAAGAAAAGATGTACCATCCAGGATCGCGGAGGGGCAGGGCAGAAGTTACAGCCCCAGCTACCATGACCCTCCCTGAACAAATGCAACTTCTGTGCTTCATCTGGAGGGTGAGTCATCGCCTGCTTTCCTTCCTTCAACCTCCTCAGAGTCCGAGTCAACCAAGGAGGAGCTCCAGATGGCTCACCCACGAGCAGGTCTTCTTGGATGGTTCCGGGAGGATTAATTAGTCACCGCCACAAGTATGAAGGCCAAATCAAGAGGCAGTATGGCAGAGAGGGAGGATGAGAGCGGCTTGTGTGTGACACAGATGGTGTCTCATCCACGATCTCTGCTCAGAAACACCGACATGGGGAGGAGCCAGGTGTATGCAACACATCAGCTCAAAGACTCACAGTCCTGACTGCACATGGGAGTCACTCGGAGAGCTTTCAGAAACACTAATGCCTGGGCCCTCCCCTGGAGATTCTAAGTAAGTGGTGCCTTGCAGCCTGGGGATGAATATTTGTTTGTTTAAAGCTCCCTGGGTGATTTCGATGTGCATTTAGCATGGAAGCACACTTTTGCGAAGCTCGCCATTCACCTGAACTGCAGCCAAGGCTTATTGCATTCCCTTAGTATTTATTATTTGCATCCCTGTTTGGCAAGATGGAGAACACAGGGCAATTGAAGCTGGAAAGGGGGAAGGAAGTGGGGAGTCCAAAGTTTGGGTTCAAAGTCCAACTCTGTCTCCTCTCAGGCTTGTGACCCTGAGGAAGCCACTTAAGTCGCTTGGTTCTCTTTCTTCATCTCTAAAGGCTGGGGTAGCTGGGCATGGAGGTGTGTGCCTGTAATCACTGCACTCTGGGAGGCTGAGGCAGGAGCTAGTAAGTTTGAGCCCAGCCTGGGCAATTCAGCAAGATCCTGTCTCAAAATAAAAGGTAGGTCTGGGGATGTAGTTCCGTGCAAAGGCCCTAGGTTTAATCCCCAGCACCACAAAAACAAACAAACTACAAACAAAAAATTAGAGTCGGGGCAGAGAGATGAAGTTGAGGAAAACTATGGGTCACTCTTCTGCTCCTAGCTGAGTTCAGAGATCGCATCAACACAACCATTTCCAGAATTCACCTCCTCCAACTGCACAGAAGCCATGTCTGGTTGGAGTGGGAAGGCAAAGGGACCCATATCCTTGAGGACCGTTCTTCCCCTTTAGGCAATCTCTGTGGCCACTTGAGGGGACCCATTTGAAATGTCCCAGCCTACCAGGTGTCCTCCTGGGCACCACCCTGTGAAGCTCTGTGGTTCTGCCTCTCACTGGCTCTGGACAAGGCCTCCACACAGTGCCTTCTGCCGTCAGTGCCTGTTGACCACTTTCAGGTGACCATGGGAATCACTCCTGGATCTTGTCCATGGGCGCATCTTCCTCCTAAGTGCCTTGCTGCCTCCACTTGCATGAGTTCCTCTTGCCTCCCAACTTTGATTAGTTCTACTTGGCAGTTGTGCCTTCATTTCCAATTCTTTCTGCCAAGTTCCTTTTCCTTGTAGGATAAGCTGGCTTGGAGGTCAATGAAACATATGTCCACTGGGACTCCAGAGCACAGGGGACTTCCCAAAGTAAGTGTCTCTGTGGTCTCCACAATTCTCCTCCCTAGGGCACTGGCCCATCTCACTCAGCCCTGCTCTGGGAGAGTAGTACCCGAACAATGGCCTTGAAGGCTGCAGCCTGCATTATAGGAGGAGGAGACAGTGTTTCCTGATTGATGATGCCTTTATTGAAATTGTATACCTCCAAAGCCATGACAGCACCTGAATCAAACCCGGGACGTGTGGCCACAGGGCATTAAGAGTTGTCTCCAGCTTCTCTTCTCAGTGAGTTTTCCGAGAAGTGGATACCAAAATGGGATTCAGTGTGTCCAAGACACAGGGAGGGAAATGACTTTGAGGATAAAAGGGGAGGAGCAGGGGCCACCAGGGAGAGCTTCTATGTCTGCGCAGGGAGAGCAGGAAGGGAGCAACCTCGGACTGCATCACAGCTCTGGGGAGTCTGGGCCCAGCAAAGGCTGTGGATGGAGGGTCCGCCTGGCAGGAAGGCCCGGCTGTGGAACCTCTGTCCTGCTCAGGCATTGGTGGGAGCAGCACGGTGTGGATGTGGACGCCCTGGTGAAGACAGAGGCACAACTGGAGATGGTCAGTGACCTCTGCTCCCACAGGAGCCCAGAGGGGGCTCCTCCCTGGCTGCCACTCCTCGTCCTTTGTTTGGCTGGAGTGGATTCCACCCAAAAGCCTGAGAAATCACAGCACCCCTGACATGGTGATACAGCCTGTTAAAGGGGGCTGGGTCTGGGGACAGCTGGAGATGTGGCGGCACTGGTGGCAGATGGAAGACCCCAGCAGTGTAATCCTCCCTTCCCTAGACTGCTGTTGGACAGTGAAGGCATTCCACAGGGCGAAGGCCCTTCAGAGATGCAGACCTGGTGACAGAAGCCCCCGCACTGCACCATCAAACTGGCATTGTCGGTGACCACAGCCCTGGAAGGAAGTTTGGGAAAACATCCTTTCTCCCACTTTCTGAAGAGAACACTGAGGCTCACAGAAGCTGTGGCCACTGACCCAAAGCCACAGACTCAGCAAATGACAGAGGGCGGAGAGCTAGGTCCTGATGAGGTGCAAACACTCAGAACACAGCCGAATCTTGTTGACAGACAAAATTCCTGCCTTCAGGGAGCTTATCCTGGCTGCCGAGGCAGAGGCAGTAAATGCACAAGCTGACCAATTTCAGAGAGTGGAAGAGCTAGGAAATGCACGGGGACAAGTGGACAAAACGTGATGGGGAGGAGAAAGGTGGCCTGGGCATGGTCAGGGAGCCTGCTCTTTGGTGGGAATTTGCTTAATCCTGAGCCATGGAACGTGCAAGCCACAGAAGCTGTGGGACAGAATGGTTGACCGGCAGTGCCACAGGTCCTGTGGCTGAACAGGCTGACCTCAAGTGGGCAGAGGGGCTGTGGGGACCCGGGCACAGGCCTGGGACATGGACCTGAGAATTGGCAGAGTTCCCAGTGAGTTTGGAGTTTTGTTCTAACTTCAGTAGCAGCTCATCTAGGAGAGGCACTAACAGGGCACTGAGGTCAGTGAGAAGGGGAAGAATTTCTCCTGGTTACATTCTGCCTGTGGCCATCTCTTTGGTGAGCTGCTGGGTCTTGGCGAGGGACCTGTCTTCCCGAGGTGGCTCCAGGCGCAGAGATGATCACCGTGGGCATTGCTAGGAGGGTGGAGATTGCAGAGGAAGGGCAGCAGCTGGCTCCCTTCCTTCTTCACCCTCCTCTGCAGAGAGCTTGGGCTCCCTCCCAGAATCACGGTTCTTAACTATGACTCACATTTGGGGAGCTTTACAAAAATTACTGTAGCCTGGGTCCTACCCTCACCCATTCTGATTTCAGAATCTTGGGTAAGAGGCTGAAAACACGAATGGACAATAATCAGACCATTGATCTAAAAATAAGAGATATAATAATAGAGCTGGGCATGGTGGTACCAGCACTCTGGGAGGCTGAGGCCAGAGAACTGCAAGTTAGAGCCTCTGCAACCCAACAAAACCCTGTCTCAAAAAACAAAGAGGGCTGAGGATGAGACTCCCAGTAGAGTAGCTCTGGGTTTGATCCTTAGTACCACCAGCAACAGAACCCTCACTCACAAACTGCAGCATCCAGTCCAGGAAGCCAACTCACAGCGGGCTCCAAACACTCACGGCTTAATCAGTCACTGTCAGCTTCAACTCAGGGCCCTGCAGGGAAAGTCAGGTATGCACCCCAGACTGAACACACAGGACACCCACTTCTAGCCGCTGCCTGGAGCTTCTCTACGCTCATGAGCCCTGAGGGCCTGGGGTGCAACAGTGCAAACGGCAGCAGTGCCACTCCCCTCATTACCGAAAAGCAGGAAGCAGAGAGTGAATAAGGAGGAGGGCACTTACTATTCCAAACTAAGGACAGCTCTGGGTACTTCCTGAGCAATAGAAACTGATTGCTAGAAGTCCAAGGTCAAGGCACCCGCAGACTCAGTGTCTGGTGACAGCCTGCTTTCTCTGAATGGCACCTTCCGTAAGTCCGCACATGATGGGAAGGACAAACATGCTCCCTTCAGCCTCCTTTAGAGGGGCACCACTCCACGACCCAGTCGCCTCCCAGTGACCCTCTCCTGATCCAACTGCGCTGGGCATTAAAGGTCACATGTCGGTAGGGTGGGGGCAGGACACAGACACTGACTCCATAGCCGAAGGTGGTGGCAACTGTGACGTATCCGGTGCTCTGCTTTCCACCATGCCTCGGGGGCAGGGGTTGTCAATACCTGCAGGCGCCCTTGGGACTGCACGCTTCAGGCAGCAGCTGCCCACCGCTCTTGTGTCAGGTGAAATGTTCAATTAGGTCGAGATTCTTAACCTGTCAGGGGTTGGGCACTCCCTTGAGAATCTAAAGAAAGCTGCTGACTCTCTCCTCATGAAGATGCAATAGCACAACTTTTAATAAAGCCCTGTGTAATTCAGGGAGCATGGATCTCCTGAAACGCACCCCAGAACTTCAAGTTAAGGCGCCCTGCCAGAGAACATGATACTTCAACCATTCCTCCAGCTCAGCCCTGGCTTACTAATTGGTAATGCAGCTCCTTGAGACTCTCTGAGTAATACTGAAATTCATTTTGCTCGCTCCCCAGTCCCTGCCCTTGAGGCACTTGTGAGATTAGCTTTGGGGAGCAGTTCAGATGGGCAGGCGCTCTCACCTGAGGTCTTGCCAACACTTGTGATTACAGTGAAAACTGGCTTCTTATTACAAGGTTATTCTCCCTTCGATAATTTCAGAAATCCCTGAGAAATGGTCTCATGGCCGGGGACGCCTGTCTAGCTACTTCTGAAGCCCACTCCGCCACACCCTGGGGGCCAATATGCTGGCCAAGGAAAACACGCCCGTGGACCAAAGCAAGGCTGCAGCTCATTAAAGGCTGCTTACGCAACTACTCGGATAAGAGTCCTGAGCTTGTGGTGCTGCTGGTGGGGAGTGTGGTATGGATCAGGCCCTCCAGGTAACACATTGCCCATGTTCTGCCCAAGGTGTGGACAGTACGACATGCATTTCATCAGAAGCTGCAGGATGGTGACTGCTCATGAAATTTCCCATTCAGTAACATAAATAGATAAATCCAATGTATTTAATTATGCATTAAGCCATTTAAGTGATTAAGAAACGTGTAATTCCCTGGCATGATGGTGTGTACCCACAGTCCCACCTACTTGGGAGGCAGGGACAGGAGGATCTCTTGAGCCCAGAAATTCAAGGCCAGCCTGGGCAACATAGTGAGACCCTGTTCAAAACCAGAAGAAAAATAGTAAGAAGAATATAAAGGAGAAGGAGAAGTAAGAGGAGGAGGAGGAAAAGGGAAAGGAGGAGAAGGAGAAGGAACAGGTGGAGGAGAAATATTTCAAGCCAGTTATCTATTAATAGTGCACATTCCTTGTAGCTTGTCCAGCAGAACGATTTTCGCCTACAGATTAAGCAGACGGAGGTCAAGAGTCAGGGCAGAGGAGACGGGGTCCAAAGATATCTTCATTCCACCCCTCCGTGGAGCCCGAGTTGAACAAGTGAGGTACACAAATACCCGGCAAGGGCGCCTGACCAGGCAGCTAATAGTCAGCCTTCATTGAGGATTTGCTGACCCTCCTCCCACGGGTCTTTCAGAGCTGAGAGGCAGAGAGGCACAAGGTGGGGTGGTAGGAAGCGCTAGGCAGAGCCAGGGAAGGACAGCAGTAAGAGCGGGGTGGGCAGAGCGCCTGGGGCACCTGGGAGGCAAAATGGGAATGAGGGAGAAAGGAGAGAGACATGATTTCCAGGACCAATCTCCCTTGCTTCCCAGTTAGGCCCGGGCTAGTGGTGCACTGGCAGATTTCCCTGAGAGACGTTACCATCGTGCAGGGCTCAGGTGAAAATATGCCCCGTAGCCTGGTTTCTTTTTTGCACTGGCCTGTGGTGAATGTTAATCTGCAGACTCGTTTTACAACCCCTTGTAAAACAAGTCATCCCAGAACTCAGCACTGAAAAACAACCATCGTAACTATCCTGAGCAACACTTGACCAAGTATTCGGACTGTTTACCCTGAGGCTAGAGATAAAAGCTAGCTGTAAACATGGAACTCAAATGAGTAGGGTTCGGGTGTTGTTTTGCAGGGGTTTGGGTTAACAGTTCTGAAAGCACTCTCTAGGATTAAGAAAATGATACCATGGATAATAGGATCCATGGTTTTTGCTTTTGGAAACAGTGAGCTCATGGTGTGAACTAATGGTATTTAAAACAAAGAGACAGAGAGAAAAATGAAGAATGGACGCATGTATACGTGTGTGTGTGTGTGTGTGTGTGTGTGTGCGCGCGCCCACACGTGTATTTCCTAGGTCTCTCCGTAAAGGGAGCCAAGAATAATGGCCCTCAAGTGTCAGTGAGCAAGCCCCCCCCCCCATCTTGGTCTGTCCATGTGCTTCCCCACTACCAAGAGTCAGGGCTCCTTGGGGAAGTGATGGCTTCAAAGACTGGGGCGAAACAGTACAAGGTGAACTTGAAATAGTTTGTGCCACAACAGTAGGAAGTGCTCAGGGAATCATGGAAGCATATGAAGAGGCCAGAGTTAGGAGAGGCTCTCAGAGAACAGCTCTGGGACAATTTAAGCACCAGACAAAATTATGGTAGTAACAGGTTATAACCCACTGAATAAAATGGAAATCAGTGCCTTACACGGATATAAATAAATAAATAAAGGGGGAGAAAGGAAGGCTTTTTCTTAGAGTAGAATGTGAACTAATAGAGGCAAAAGGAACAACAGAGGTAGAAAATGGCCATTTGGCAGCCAGCATTGTAATCACTGATTTGTTAAATGGATTGATGCATGGGCCTCATGAGAGGCTGCTAAGGTTAGTACATTCAGTGTCCTGAGCAACAGGCCAGTAACATAGCTTCAAAGTATCTCTGTAAGGTTTACTTAGTAATTAGAAAGAAAATAGTAACCCCATAAAGCTGTAAAACTGTCAGACACCATCATAATCAAATATTCAAATTTAACATCACCAGTAACGGGAAAGATTCACATTGGTTTCCTCCTGGTACAAAGCATCGAGAAAAATACAGCATTCCTTTTGTTATATTTCTGCCAGAAACATGTAACCTAAACTTAATCACCAGGAAACACGAGGCAAACCCAAAATGAGACTGTTTTACAAACAAACTGGCCAGCACTCTGCAAAAGCATCACTGTCAGGAGCCGCAAAGAAACCCTGAGGGACTGGGCCAGGCCAGAGGAGGGTGTGGAGAAACAGCGAATGCAGTGTAGGATCCAGGGTTCGCTTTTGGTGTAATGGACATCTGGAGGCCAACTGGTGAATTAGAACAAGGTCTACGCATTGGATAATAGCATTATCAAACGCAATGTTCTAGTTTTTATAATTTACCGAAGTAGGAGACCAGGGCATGGCAACGTGGCTGGAGCAACTGGGCATGAACCTGCCTTTGAAGAGACTTGTTAACCATGGGCCTAGAGCAGCAGCTCCGGAGCATGACACCAGATCAAGCCAAGCACCCAGAACCAGGAGAACAGGCTGAGCCTAGCACCGGAGGCCCATCTTCTAGCATGAGGTCAAGGGGGCCACTCAGAGCAACTGTCCATGAAGACCTAACAGGACGGCAGCAATTGACTTTGCGCTATGGCCCTCTCGTTCTGGGCTAGGTTTGTCATTGCTCCCTCTCTATGTGTTTCCGGCTTAGACTTGAGCCATGAAGCATTTGTGTGAGCTCTAGAAGGCAGAAAGGAAGGAGTGACCAGGTCCCCTGCAAGTCACTGTGGTTCACAGGCAGAGAGAGACTGATAGGGAGGTGCTGAGGTTTCAGCGTGTCCACACACTCTCTCTGGCTGTGTGGCCACCCCGTCCTCCAGACTTTCCCAGCCCCCTCATGGGCCCATTCTAGCAGCAAAACACCCCTGGCTTCTCAGGTTCCCTCACCAGCTTCAACCTGTCCACCCCTGCCCTCGCTTCAGCGGACCCTCCAGCCCACCCTTTTACTTCCTCTCCCTCGGTTTCTCCCACAGTTGGGCAAGGTCTGGTTCCTTTAGTGAACCTTCTCTTCTGTGCCATGCCTAGAGGCTCTGCTTCCTGGTGGGACTCTGGTTGTTATGGTTTCAAAGCTGGACTCCACATCTGCCACCAGATAACCTTACCTCCTGTGAGTCGCTTCACTTCAGTTCCAGTTGGCCCAGGGGCCCTTTGGATCAGCAGAACTGCACTGCTGTGGAAATGACACATGCCTCTCCCAGCATGGAGACTCAAGAAGCTCTGGTGACTTCCACATTGGCACTTTAGGCACCCCAAGCCACCATGTGAGAAGACCAGCTCCCCAGCTGGAGGGGCCGTGTGGAGAAGCTGACAGGGGAAGTTCTGAGACTACGTTGCAAGAGAAGGCTCCTATTCCATTGTCCCAGCCACGTCCAACCTCCCAGCCACGCACACCAAAGACCACGCGGAGAGGAGGTGCCCCTGGAACCAGCTGGAACATTCCTGCGCCAGCATCTGTTCTTATTGTCCCGTTCTATGAATTGGTCAGGACAGCTGATGAGTGTGAATGATTACTTGCTTTAGGGCAGAAATAAGAAGAAGAAAAGTAAAAGAACTGCAAAAGAAATGCTCAAGGAGAAAAGGGTGCTTTGAAGGGAAGAGAGAAGATATGTCCTGCAAGCAGAATGGACTACTGCTTGTTCTCTCTGTCTGTGAACCGCGATGACTTGCAGGGGACCTGGTCACTCCTTCCTTTCTGCCTTCCAGATCTCACACAAATGCTTCACTGACCAAGTCTAAGCCGGAAACACATAGGGAAGGAGTTGTGACAAACCTCACTCAGCCTCGGGGAGGTGACACAGTATAAAAAGAAGACACTGCAAGAGGAAGAAAGAGAAGATTGTAATGGAGGGCTCGCAACGTGGCTGGAATCTGTGTGCACATTTCTTGTAGCCAGAAAACGACCCCAGTGCAAAGGGGCATAACATTGAGGACATTTGTTAAGCCTAATAAATGAATGGAAACCATAATGAAGCACATCACTTTTCCATGGGTTAAACTAAACTTGTGCCAGTGGTCTCCAACAGAACCTCAATTACCAAAAAACATGGCTGAGGTTTAAATCTTAGGCTAAATTCTTTTAAAATAGCAAAAGACTGCAAATTCAGATTAGGAATTTATCCAGCCCCAATTTCTAGCAGAATGGACAATACTGATGATGATGATGATGATGATGAACAACATTTTTATTCTCACTGCTACATTCCAGGCACTATTAAGAGTGTCCACCCTTGCTACAATCGTACAAAACAGGCATAATGATCATTATCCCTGTTTTAATAGATGAGGCCATTGAGGCACTGAGAGGTTAGAAGCCTGCCCAAGGGCATATGCAGGCAAGTGGCAGAGTCAAGGTTGGACTACAGAGGAGCTGAAGGCTTCTCAGAACCAGTGGGCCGAGCTGCCTGTCATCCCCACCTCCCACACCAGGCACCGTCAGGACCCACGTTCACAGTACAGCCTCGGGCAGAGACAGAGGTGTTTGTTGGTAATAAACTCTCTGACTCGTTCAGCCAAACAGATTGACCCAAAGCCTGCCATGTGCTAGGCACCATGCTAGGCTCTGAGGTTATGATGCTGAGCAAAGCCTGACCCCACCTCCTTCTGGAGTCAACAGATGGTGGAGGAAGAAGCCATTATTCCCAAGCTCCCAAAGGAGAGCGTGATTGCAGGCTGGCGTATATGCTCTAAGGAAGATGAGTCAGCTACCTGCAATTCCATTATTTTCTGCGTGTAACAACAGGAAAGTGTATGTTTTCTGGAGAACTTTTGGATCAAAGAGCCAAAGCCAGTTACTGTCCTCTGAGCAAACCTACTTTCCAACTGCCTGTCCCTCAGGGGTCCCCTCCTGCCCCTGCATGGAGCAGCAACTCCTCAGTCAGTCTTGCCCCTCACCCTGGCTGCTCCTTCTCCTGTCTCTTGCTAATATGGCTCTCATCATTGGGGTTGTTTGGCTACAGCGCTCCACCTGCCTCTGCTACAGAACTGTAATCTCAGAAATCAAATGGACAGTGGTAGCTGGCTAATTATTCAGTAGCTTTTCCCAAAAACACTGAGGATATTTTGAAATTGTACACGATTGTTCTCCTATTAGATCCCATAGGCCTAGAAAACAGTAAGTGGCTTTAATCTTTCATAGGAGGGGATGAGTGGAAAATGAACAATTTAAATGGCCTCTCTCAGGCCCTGAGAGAGTTTAGAGGAGCTCTCCCACAGTTTAAAGGAGGAGAGCCTTATTTTGGCTCATGGTTTCACTCTGTGCTCGGTTGGCTGGCTCCAAGGCAGAAATGGCTTGGCAAAAGGGTGTGGTGGAGGAAAGCTGCTCCCCTCATGCACCCAGGAAGAAAGAAAGAGAGGAAGAAAGAAGGGAGGAGCCAGGGACAAAGGCTGAATGTGGTCAGAGTGTTCCTTTATTCCAATGTCCTTTCCGGGGACAGTTGAAGCTGGGCAGACAGCCTGTGCAGGGAAAAGGTTTATTTTTCAAGTGAGTATCTGGCTTTGCATCTTAAAGCCCAGCGCTTTCTTCTGGGCTATTGTTCTGCCTTGGGAGTTATGATCAGAAGGTGTTATGGACTGAATACTGGTGACCCCCCAGAATTCCCATGTTGAGCTCCAGGGCCCAGTGATGGTTTATGAGACCAAGCCTCTGGGGATTATGAGATAACAGAATGGAGCTTCTTGAATCTCCATCTGGAAGAGGCATGTGTCACTGCACAGCACTGCAGTTCTGTTGATTCAAAAGGGCCCCTGGGCCAGCTGGAATTGGAATGTGATTAATGAGCTCATAAGAAGAGCCGAGAGAGACGATCTCTCCAGCATATGAGCACACAGCGAGAAGACAAAAGAGATCTATCAGGGAGTGGTTGTAGTTTAGATCGAAAGTGTGCCCGCATTGTGACTGGAGGGGTGGATCTCTTGGGGCTGTGACTACAAGGTGTTTTCCTGTCCCCTGCTCCTCCCTTCTCTCTCTCTGCTTCCTGGCTGCCATGAGGTGAGTGGCTTTTCTCCCCTTTAAATTGCAGGCATGAGTATTTTGTCCAGCAGTAGGAAAGTGCCTAATACAAGAGCCCTCACCGAGAACCTAGCTACCACTTGTACCCTGATCTCGAACTTCCAGCCTCCAGAATTTCAAGACATAAAGGCCTGTTGTTTGAGCCATGCAATCCATCCCATATTTGTGATAGCAGCCCAAACTGACTAAGACATAAGGGTGAAAATCTAAGGAAAGAGAAAGGAACATTTCCATAGGCTTTGTGAGTTCTCTGAAGCCCTTATATCGATTCCTTTCACACATGCGGAATCTTGGTATTCTCAAAATGAATGCTTCAGAGTCTCAGCTCTTGGAGAATGATGTGAAAGTGACACAGCCTGCGGTGACTAATGACTCACCAGCTGAAGTGGTGTCCCTGAGGCTGGTGGGCAGCACTGAGTCATCAAGAGTTGAGTGGGGTAAGTAGGGTTCTCGAAGTCCCCGCCCAGTGTGGCCATTTGGTTCTCAGCTATTACTTGGTTTCATTTCGTCCTCACATCCGCCCTCCGGGATGGAAGCAGGGTGGTGTCCCTGGTGTTCACAGCTATGCCACAGGTTCTCCTGCCTCTCCAGCAGGAGGATCGTGCTTCCCTGCTCCCACTGACATTGGGCTTCTCCAGCTAACTTGCTCTGGCCAACGAAGTGTGAGTGAAAGTGACCCAGTTTGTGTGCGGGGAAATATTTCAACTCTGTCTTCCGCTGCAGTGATTTTGGAAGCTCGTGTTGTTATAGAAGAGCTTTAAAACTTCCGGGAAGGCTGAACCAACTCGTGGAAATCAGAATCTTGGAGAATAACCTGCACCTGGAGTAGAAATTTACCATGCATGAGTGATAAACTTTAGTTGTCTTAAGCAACTGAGATGCTTAATAATAATACAACTGCTGCTGTCTGACACAAGCAGATATTACTACCCTGATTTTAAAGATCAGGAAACTTTGTAAGGGATTTGTGAAGGTAAAACTTTTAAATCCAAAGTTATTTAAGGCTTTTCTATCTCTTTCCCATAACTTATGCTTCTTTCTCTTCCTTTTCTTCTTCTTTTTCCTTCTACCTCTAAACAGCACCCAAACTTCACCCAGAACCCCATCTCCTGCTGACGTTGGTCCCCATGCTGCTGGGACAAGGTCCCCAAAGATGGAGATTGTGCCATGAAGAGTGGAGTATACAGCAGATGCTCAGTAGAATTTCTTTAATCAGATTGCTCCCAACAGTGTCATGCTTGCATTACTTTTTTATTTGGAGGTACAAAACAGCCTATTATGTAATGATTTGTCTTAATTGGGAAATCAAACATTTTGAGAAAAATAAAATCTTTATTATATTTAAAAATTATTTTTGACAAACATTTCTCAAATGCCAGACCACTGTGCTGCGCACTCTACATAACGGGGATCGAACTTGGGTCCTTGTGCTTTCGGGGCAGGTGGTGGAACCACTGAGCTAAATCCCTGGCCCTCTATGTGAATTTTTGATTTCCCTTGGTCCTGGTGTGGTGGAGTCTCCAAGGACAGCTGCCGCCAGTCCTCTCCTCCCTGTGTTCCCAGGCCCAGAGATGGACTCCTTTTCCCCAGACCTTGGGCCTGATCTGGACTTGCGACTCGCTTTGACCAACAGAAAAGAGGAGGAGGTGCAGTCCCAGTTCCAGGTTTATCTCTGAAGAGATCTGGCAGCTTCTCCTTTTACTCTGAGGAGCCAGGAACTGCGCTGTAGGGAAGCCCAGGTAGACGAAGGAGCCCGTCACAGCTGTGGTCTCAGCCGTAGTCACTGATGGGCTGCAGGGACGCGGGAGCGAGTGAGTCCATGGATCGGGTGCCCTGTGACTCCAGCCGTGCATGGCGCATCTGTAAAGACTATAGAAACAGGGGCTGGATCTTCCAAATTAGTTTTAACTATGTTGCGTGTTCATGGGGAACACAGTTATCGAGTGTGGCAGGCCACGTTTCCCAGCGATGGCCATACCACTGTCCTCCAAGGCACACTCTCTTCTGCACTGTGAGCTCTGTCAAGGGGAGGCCCATCTCCCCACTCCTCTGGGCAAGGAGGACGCCGTGCTTTCTTTCATCAGAGTCACATGGTAGAGATGATCCCAAGCCAGTCCCGTCATAGCCTCATACTGGCCTGGCTCTCAGAAGCCAGCTGCCACACAAGCAAAGCCGCCTCCCAAGGTGTAGGAAGTCAGGCTGATGCATAGGCCCTGAAGGATGAAGCGACACTTAGGGTAGAGGGAGGCCAAGGAGCACAAAAAATGGGTCATGCACTTCAAGGGAAAACCCTCCAGGAAGTGGTTTCTCCTACTGCCCCAACTGACACCACGTACAGGATGTGATCAAAATATATGGTGAGAGTTATTATTTGGTAGGGAGATCGTTTACAAATGGGAAGGGGAACAAGAAATGCAGGGAGGGGAGAGAGAAGGAAGGGAAAGGGGATTGAAAAAGAATTGAAGAGAAAACTGGAATAGAGCTTTTGCAAATGAAAGGGGGAAGAAGAGTTGGAGGGAACAGGGAGGAATGGGAGGGCAACAGGACAAAACAAAGAATTAAATGTGTTATATACTAGTTCATGTACAAATTCCCCATGATAAATATAATCATTATGTACCACAAATATGTACTAGTAAAAAAGAAAAATAAAAAATGTAGGGCCGGAGATTTAGCTCAGTGGTTCCCCTGCCTGCCTCACAAGTGCAAGGTCCCGAGTTTGATCCGTGGTATCAAAAAAAAAAAAAAAAAGAAAGAAAAAAATGTATCACAATGAAAATCACCAGAGCTCCAGTGGCTCAATCGGTTAGCTCGAGGTACTTATGTACCAATAAAAATCACATTGCCATTGATCCCACAGAAAACTCCCCCTCTCTTCAAACACACTTATCCCTCCACTCTTGCCTTTCTGAAGCAGTTCTGCAAGTCTTCTTTCCTTAGGGTCTTATGACACGTGATAAAAAAATACAACAACAGTGGCTATCTCATGCCCTCCAATGGGAAGGCAGGCTCATAAAAACTTTGTGCTCATCCACCTTATTCACTGGATCTGGCACTGGGACTTCTGGCTCTTCCCCAGTGTAAAACCGACCATGAAAGTAAATGTTTTGAACGGACTCAGGACATTGTGGCAGCCATGACAGCCCCAGTAAAGACCCTCAGCAGAGAGGACTGCTTCGGAAAGTGGCAAGAACAATGGGGTAAGTATGTTCAAAGCGAAGAGTGTTTTGAGGGGGATTAATGGTAATGTGTCTTTTATTGTAACACATTTAAAAAAATTTAGACACTCACCGTATTTTTTGGTCATACCTCGCAAAACAGACATAAACCATCCAACTGAGCTCTTCCCAGATTCCTGCCTTAAAAAATCATGAGCAAAATGAGTGGGTGTGTTAAGCCATTAAATGTTGGGATATTTCTTTTCATAGCTATAGACAACCAGAACACTGACTGATAAATACTAGAAAGTGATAAATAATTCACTTTTTGATCACCCTGTATTTAGGATATGAATCATATGTTGCAGGCTTCCACTGGCTATGGGTTCTGAGGAAAATATATTAACATTAGTGTCCCAAAGTCAGTGACTCTGGGTGGCCGTCCCCTGAACTGCAGCTCCACAGCCCCTGCCATCACCACTGATGCTCAGCTCTACCAGGCTCTTCCGGGAGCCCATGTGTCCCCAGGTGGATGAGCCCAGGGCCTCACAAAGTCTCTGGTGAAGACAGTACCTTAGTTCTGGCCCTCTCCCCAGCAATGGCTTCTGTCCCATTGAAGGTGCCAGGTGGGGAACAACCAGCACACTGTTGACCCCACTGTTCCTGTCCCATCCTCCAGCCCTGCTTCTCTTCCTGGCTACTACCCAGTAAGGAGCCCCGCTCACAAATCCCACACGTCCCAGCCAATCAGTGGGTACAAAGGCGCTGTCAGGAGAAACACTGCTAGTCCCTCGCACTAGTTCCTGCCGAGATACCCTTGTTAGGAATTTGTAAGGATCTTGGGAAGAAAACAAACAAAAACCAAACAAATAAGACAATTAGAAATGGACCTCCATACAAACAACCCCTTTGTAAATATGGCAGGGAATGAACAGACACCTTAAATACATTTTTCCTCTCAAGCTTCTATCTCTGCTCATGTCAGACAGAGAGGTATGGAGTTGGTAACTATAAAGTCTGAAAGGTTTGCAGCCCTGAGGACAGGGACCAGCCTCAGAGGAGGCACAGGCAAGGGAGAAGGAACTGGAGGGCAGTGAGAAGGTGCCCTGGGCAAGGCGTCCTGGGGCCAGTCCCTAGCACTTGGGGGCAGGCTGCAAGAGCCCGTCAATAACAAATGGGGAGAGTCTGCTCCCCAGCACCCCTGGGGCCTCTGTTCCCGAGATGGTCAAATTATTGATGGGAAATATACGATACTGTGGTCTGAGCTGACAGCTGGAAGACAGCAGTCTAAATGCACAGGGCTTACAGTCAACAGGAGGTCACTCTGCTCCTCGGAGATGTCCAGGGTGCCTGCCAGGAAGGCTGCTGAGGCAGTTGGAGTGGGCCCTAAAGGGCCCTGGCCTAGAGGTAGGCCCAGAGGAGCAGGAGACCCCAGCCAGAATGGTGGGTTTATCCAGTGATGCTCTTTATTTATGCAGGACTATTTATTTATCCCAGGACTTTGATGGCTCCTCCAAGCCTCGGTGCAAAGGATCTGGCTCTGGGCTTCTCCCAGGCTGTACACTTTTCCTCTTCTGATCTGCCCAGTCTGCTGACTTGGGCTGAAGCCCATCTTGGTTGGCTGCCGCCACAGGAAAGGTCCACATTCTGGGTGGCTTCAACAGCAGAGGTCTCTGGTCCCAAGGTTCCACCCCCATGATGCCCGCAGGACGGGGTCCTCTTGGGGCTTTGAGGTGGGATCTCTTCATGTCCCCCTCCTAGTTTCTGCTGGTTGGCTGCCAGCTTCCGTGCCCTTGGCTTGTAAAACATCAGCCTAATCTGCTCTCACCTTCATGTGGCATCTCCTCGTGTGTTTACCTACATACCCCTTTGTATTAAAGACCCAGGAGTATTAGATTACGATCCGTTCTCATCACCCCTTCTTAACTTGTCTGCAAAGACTATTTCCAAATAAGCTCACATTCACAGAGGCTAGGAATTAGGACTCCAACATCTTCCAGGCGACTCAACTCAGCCTTTTACTCAGTTTCTCTGAACTGGCCTTGAAGTGTGCATTCTCCCTAGTTCTGGGTGCAACTTCAGGTCACCCTGGCTCATACATGGAGCCCTACAACACACCTGGGCCCAGCTCTAGCTCCTGAGTCCCATTTGGATCAGGGCTGCGACCTGGAAGCCCTTGGACTTAGGAAGGGTACAGTTCCTGTGACACTGTAGTCAGTCTTGTGGGCTTCTAGAGGGCACAGCCCACTTCTGTTCCCCATGTGCCCAGGAAGGAACCAGGCTGTCGGTGGTGATCATCGCCTGTAGGGGGAGGTGCGTTTGCATCCCAGTTCAAGTTATCTCAGAAGCCTGAGGTCACGACCAGTCTCTGCTCTCACCCGGCCTGGTGGCTTTGAGCCAATCACTTACCCTCCCTGGGGCCTTCTTCCCTCGCTGGTAGATCACACACATTGCGCTAGGTGTTCCTAAGCTAAGGTCTGTGGGTTCTGTGATTCAAGATGGGCAGGCAGAATAGGGCAGGAAGGCTGTGTGAGGTGGGATGACAAATATTCCTCCCCAGCCTGACCCAGGGCAGAGAAAGTCTCAGTTGCTCATTGGTGAAAGCTCAGAAGCCAGCACATTTCCAAGGGCATGAAAATGCTTAGTTAATATTTGATGAATATATAGAAGCATCATCATCAAATTAATGAATGTTACAGAACAGCAATATTTTCCATGAATTCTGACCTTTTTACCCTTTCTGAGTCAAACTCGAGGGACAGAATCTCTCGTAGTCAAACTGACTCTCCTGAACAGATAGGAGCAGCAACAGCCTTACAGTCTGTTGTGACCCCATAGACAGCATGGACTCTGGGGAAGGGACCTGCTGCCCAGAGGGTTTTCAGGAGCACCTTTGTCCTCGAGCTCTTCGTATGCCCTGTTCCCCAGAACTGCTCCTTATCTTCACGTTGACCAGCCACTCTCTTTGGTGGTGCTCAAAGGTGAGCATGTGAGATCCTAGTGCTCAGGAAAAGTCCCCAAGGTAGGGTCTGATCCTCTAGTAAAACCCAAAGTGGATGGCTTCCCCGTGTTTGCTTGGAGGAGCTAATCAAGAAGAATAAAGAATATTCTCTGAGGACAAAAGTTCATAAGACCTTTGTTCCTCCTCCTCAACAACTCCTACCCTTTGTCCTCCTCCTGCCCTCCAGTGT